TTATTTTGTATTGTTCTGTTCAAGAACTCACTTGAAGCCACTTGCAGATTTCCCTTGGAGATTTTTAACTAGGCTAGGGAAGTTTGTTCTAGTGTAAGCTGTCAGTATAGCAAGTTATTTTAATGGTAGTCCTACTCCAGAAATTACTCTGGAAGTAAAGTGCAATAGGAGCAGGCACTTGGTAGTATAAGTAATAAAATGCTTTAAACTCTGTTTTGCAAGTCAACTGTGACCATAGGGTCATTAAGGTTGGAAGAGACCTCCAAGATTGAGTCCAACCTTGGACAAACCACCACTTTGTCAGACCACCAAACCATGGCACTGCCTTGCCAAGTTGTACTTTGAACACTTCCAGGGACGGCGACTCTGCCACCTCCCGGGGCAGCCTGTTAAAATGTCTGACCACTCTTTCAGTGAAGGAATTCCTCCTGATGTCCAACCTGAACCTCCCCTAGTGCAGTTTGAGGCCATTTGCTCTTGTCCTGTCCCTGGTTGCCTGGTAGAAGAGGCAGACCCCCACCTGGTTACCTCCGCCTTTCAGGCAGTTGTAGGGAGCAATAATGTCTCCCCTGAGCCTCCTTTTCTCCAGGCTAAACACCCCCAGCTCCCTCAGCCACTCCTCAGAAGACTTGTGCTCCACACCCTTCACTGACTGATGCCCTTCTCTGGATGGGCTCCAGCACCTCAATGTCCTTCTTGTAGTGAGGGGCCCAGAGCTGGACACAGAACTTGAGGTGCAGCCTCACCAGAGCACAGTACAGGAGGATGATCCCTTCCTTTGTCCTGCTGGCCACACTATTTTAATTGGCAAGTATGATATCATCTGTCTTGACTCAGAAGAACTGAAGAGGTACTAGTGGGAGGGACACAGCAATGGCCTCTGACAGGAAGCAGTTTCTTCTGAGTTTAGTGCTCACAAGAAGCACTGGAATTCCTGAAGGAATCATTCCTTGTTATGAGCTTGTATGGAAAGCTGTTGAATTTGCCTGCCATACTTTTTTTTTTTTTTTTTTTTTTGAAAACTTGTCAACTTCCAGTTCAATTCATGTTAGCACAAGCCCACCAGAACATCTTAATGCCAGAACATCTTAATGCTGCCATATTCCACACTTAATTCACTGGTAAAGATCTAAATGTGAATTCAGCTATTATCCATTGTGACCTCCAAGGCTATACTGAGACATCCTCAAATTCAGCTCTGGCTTAAACAAGTGTGTCCCGTGTTTCATTGTGTTTCCTAGGAGCCAACATCTTTCTTACCTCATCTGGACTGATTAAACTAGGGGACTTTGGCTGCTCAGTGAAGCTGAAGAACAATACCCAGACAATGCCTGGAGAAGTGAACAGTACCTTGGGGACTGCAGGTGAGGAAGCTTGTGCTAGGCAGGTACTTGTCTAGTTATCATAAAGGAAGATACATCTGCTAGGAGCCTGGAATAAAACCATGTGTTTCAGGGAAACTTGATTTTACCTTAGCTAGTTTTGTGCTTTATATCCAGAAGCCAAAACAATGAGTGAATGCTATAATGTGACAGTTAAAATGGTGTTTGTCTGTAACTATAGAGATGCTGGAGCATGTGTTTTCTGGGGTCGTATTTTTCTCTGCAGCCTTACTGAAGCTGCAATCTGAAAGAGTACTTTTCACCAAACAGCTGCTTAATAGATTTTGAGAAAATGGCAGTCACTAAAAGCATGTACTGTAACATTTTCAATACCACATTTTGAAGTGAAAGACAGTTGTGCTGTAAACATGTCAAAAAACAAGAAACCAGCAAATGGCAAAACTTAGCAAGAAAACCTGAGTAGTAATTCATAGGGTATTTAAAAAAGCATTTGGTTTTCCCAGTCAGTCATTTGATGTATATGGTTCCTTCTGCTGTATGAACTGATGGCATCATATATGTTGTTTCAAAGCATACATGGCTCCAGAAGTAATCACTAGAGCTAAAGGAGAAGGGCATGGACGTGCAGCAGACATCTGGAGCTTGGGCTGTGTTGTCATAGAGATGGTCACGGGCAAGGTAAGGATGTTTCATGTATTGATGAAAAGCAAACTGTTCTTGGCAGTTTTTCTGCAAATTCTGGTCTCAGCAGTTTGTCACACTCATGTCTGAAAGGACTGGGATGGTTTTTTATTTCCTGGAGCACAGAAATACATGCTGTAGTGGGTAGCAAGTTGTTTACTAATGCTTGCACTTAGCAATGCTGTCACCTATTGCAGAGGCCTTGGCATGAATATGAGCACAACTTCCAGATCATGTATAAAGTGGGGATGGGTCATAAACCTCCTATTCCTGACAAAGTGAGCCCAGAAGGGAAAGACTTCCTTTGCCACTGCCTGGAAAGTGACCCAAAGATGAGGTGGACGGCCAGCCAGCTTCTCGATCATCCTTTTGTCAAGGTTTGTCTGAAGACTTTGGCTACAAAAACTGCAGATGGGAATGGGGAACAGCTTTTAGTTGGCTTCTTTGTTCTCAGCGATGCCACAGAGGTTGGTACCATGGTGAGGGGCTGCTAGCAAATTGATGCTGTCCAGAAAAAATGGATTGGCAACTTTCCAGAAGCACATGGGGTTGTTTTCAGCATATTGACTATAGGATGTGGTGTGCACCATGCAATAAACTTTTGACTGCTGTTTTGAAATGCATTATGTTAAAAAGGCAAGTCAGGCTTCAACTAATTAGATCTAAAGGGCTTTGCAGCAAAAACTTCAGCAAGTACAAGTGCACAGGTTTTTAGAGATAAGGGCCCCTCCATAAAAAATGTAACCAACATGTGCTTGAGAACGCTCCCATTCTTCTGTGCAAAGAGCTGCTTTTCTTTTAAGTTAATACTTAAAACATTCATACTGAATGTTTTATCTGGCAGCTGTTGTAAGAGTCTTCAGTTCTTCCATGAACTATGGTGTGATGCCTTCCTTAAGAACAAGCAAATATTCACAGCTACAAATTGAGCTGTATTTGTAACTTGTTTTTTGATGGAATAGGAGCGCAGTAGGTTATTGAATTCTGTCTCATTTTCCAGCATAAAGTTGATCACTTTGGTGTTCTGGTTCAGTAGCAGTGTGTTTGGCATCATCACCCATCCCTCATCAGTGCAGCTGTAGCAGATCCCATCCATCAGAGGTGGACACTGCTTTAGGCACCTAAAGGATGCAGTCAACAGTGGGAATGTCAGTACACCCATACAAACACTTGTAATGCATTACTGTGGAACAAGGGAGAGAAAAAAACTTCAAAGATGTGAAGGTGCTAAAGAAATTGATCCATTATCATCTTGCTGCACGAGGGAGGTGGCTGAATTGCCTTTTGCTTCCTTCACAGGTTTGCACAGACGAAGAATGAAGTTACTCAATCTCTAGCCTTTTCTATTCTGACAAGATTTGAATCACTACTGTATGTAATATTTACATAAAGACTGTGCTGAGAAACAGTATAAAAGTTGACCTTAATGAAGACTGCACAAGTGACAGTGTCACTTCCTCTGCTGCTCCTGTACATTTTACTTGGCACATGTTGCTCATGTGATGTGTCTGCAAGTTGGAAGAAGCTGCATGTTTCAGTGAAAGTGCCATTACTACTGTATATGGACCATACCCTTTTTGTTCCTTCTCCTGTTTCTCATTTGATTGAGAACTCGTATTGTTAATACGTAGTATTTTTGAACTCTCTAGGTTCAGAAAAATGCTGTAGTGTTACATCAGGCGTTATGGACCTTGTTTTTTAATCTGAGTGCACTGACTGTGAACTTTTACTGGGGTTTTTGTTTATTTGTTTTTGGCAAGCTTCAGATTTGTTATGCACAAGGCTGATTAATGAAATTTAAAAAAAAGAAAAAAAAAGGTTTTTCTCAATAAAAGGTTTATTTTAGGAGATGTTGGTGAAGGGTTTTTCTTACAAAAATAGATGTGGGACTGTGCCACATTTTAACCTTTTCTGCAACATTGGGATAAGACTGCTAGGCTGACCTAACTGAAATAAGCTGCTCTTTTATTGCAATAGGCAATGTCTTGTCAAGTTTCAAGATGACTACTGTGAGATGCTTCTTACACAACAGAAGTAAGGTTCCCCCTTTCATCACCTTCTGAGAAAAGAGGGTAATGGACAGTTCCTGACACTACCTTTTAGCAAAGGGATAACTTATTGAATGTATGCACTGGAATAGGGAGTACTCTGCATGACATTTTTGTCTTTTAGAAGAGAACTCTACAAGGTGATTCTTGTGCTCTGTTTGGCAAAACCAAGAACCTACTGTTACTTTTCAAAAACTGACTTCCGATTCTGGGCTTTCATTTCCCCACCTCACCTCAGTTGTCATCAACCTCAGAAAAGGAAGAGAGATTAGAAGTGGTTAGCAATTGGAAGAAACAGCCTGCAGTACATGATCTAGGTGATTTGTTTTTTACTTGCTACTACAAACAGGTGACTTAAAACTGTTACTTGTAAACATGAATGCAAGTTTACATATTCTTGTTACAGCTTTAGATTTAAAATAGGTAAATTAAAACTTGCTGTAAATATTTGATTTTATATTCTAGTGTCTTGTCTCTCATCTTAATCCACAAATCCTTGATTAATCACAGGTGTACTGTGAGTTGTTAAGGAGGTACCAAAAAAATCTGACATTTCTATCTAGATAAAGTATGAGCCTTGCTGTGCATGTCATCTGTGCATGTATTTAGGCTCTCAAAAAATATAAATTTAAACAAAGACGTTCCCCTCTTTTCAGTGCTCTGTCTTCAGTTGTGTGATAGGAGGGGAAGTATGTTGTCATCCTCAGTAAAGGACTATGAAAGTACCTGAAGTAAAAGTGTCCCCCCAGCTTACAGTGTGCTTCACTTTGCAGTGTAACAGAAGTATCTGAGTTGTGTCCTCACTTGCCTTGCTTCAGGTGCCCTTGAGCACAAACAGGGACTGTGGACAGCTTTTAGGAGTCAAGATAAAGGTCACAAACTTACCAGTTTTTTCTTGCCAACCAAAAGAAAACTCATTCACTGCATATTAGCTTTTTATAATTTTATTTTTGTATAAACAAACATTAAGACTAATTTTGTTAAGGCAGTTTTTGAACATACAGTTGCTTGTGGGGATGAGGGGCAAACACTGCTTCCTAATAACCTATGTCATTCTTTTAATACAGTGAACTGCAGAAGTTTAACTTTGGCAAGGACCATTAAGCTTTCTCTGTCAGTGAGTGCTGGAAGGGCCTCATTGGTGTGCCAGGACTTGCACAAGTGCTTAGGAGGATGGATCCAGGCGTGGCATGTTTGGCCCTCAGCCTGTTCTTGGTCCCAGGGAAATGGATATAAAATCATCTTAGCACTCTTTCAGAAATATTTACTTGTTTGGTGCTTTCCTCTGGGAGAAGGGCACTGTACACAGCTGGAGGGGAAAGGACTAAGATTCATAAGGAATGCCAGATGTCTTCCTTACTGCATGTTAAATTTGTGGCTCTCAGGAAGGCACAAGAGCCTCTGTTACTCCAGGAATGTGTATTTGCTACTCAGAACTGCTCACCTACCACCCTGAGAAAAGGCCACTGGGCCTGCCAGCTAATGTTCACAGTAAAATGCTGTCCTGGAGAGGCCTTTCCTTTCTCCCCTCCCATCCATTTTCCAGCTCTTGTGTACCATGGCTTCAGGTCTGGCTTGTTATGTGCCTGATCATTACTACAAGATGCAATACTCAGTTTTTCACTGTTAAGAGTGTTACAGGGCACTCTAAACATTACAGTATTTGTAAACATTACAGTATTTTCTACTCTTGGGCTCTAAAAACATCTGAGCCCATGTTTCTGTTCATGACATTGAACGAGATGCTCCTGAAAGCTTCAGAACATAGGGAATGCATGTATCCACAAGATGTGTGAGGCAAAAAGCCCCTGAGAGCAGTCCCTCACACTGCCTATGCCTTCCTTTATCTTGTAAATGTTACTGCCTCCACTATCCCTAACCTTCACTTACTGCCCCATGCTAAAAGCACTACTTCATCTTTTTAGGTGCTGCACATTAAAAAGGTGAGTTTCTAGATTATCTGATGTACTGAATAGCAAATACATATTTCATGGAATGATTCATATTGTTGTATTAGCCTGTTTCTTCTGGCCTCAGTCTTACTACATGAAAAGAGCAATGTTTTTATACCAGCTGCTGGAGTAAGACTACTCACTTTCCTCACTAAAGACTACCATGGTTTTAGCTCTATGCTGAGTGAATATGGACTGTCTTTGAAACTGTCAATCACAACCGCTACTGCTCAGTGTCAGGATCTGTAGACTTTAAAAAATTGTGATTTTTTTCCAATCATATTTGCTGTTAGTTAATGTCCCCACTTTTCCTTTTTTTTCTTCTGCTTTAAACAAGTTATTTTTTAGTAACCTGCAGATCCTTAACTCTGGAAGTTTAAAAACAGGGAACAGTTGCTCTGAAATTGGTGCTGGGAATGTCATAGCAACCGCTCTTTCCTCAGAGCTTGATTCTAGTTTTATTTAATTTAGAGGGGTGTCAGATCAAGACAGACAAAAAAATCAGCCATAACCACTGTACTAGGTCTCTCTCCTAGATCCCCCTCCTCCTCAGAAGAAAATAATTTACTATTACTTCAGGCTGGCTGTTATGAGGCACCAAGTAAACTAATTTATCAGAAAAGACAGACAAGCAGGTTAATTAGGATCACAACAGTATGGGTATAGGGAATACATTCTGCACACTTTGCATTATTCCACTACACCATGCCCAGTTATTTTCTTTCTGAAATTATTAAGATGGCCTGGAATTTTAAGTAGCATTTAAAGCCAAAAGGAATTTTACTACTTCAATTTTTCCAAATTAAAAATTACATTTATTCTGAAGAACTACAAGTTTCAGCTATCCCTCAGATGTATGGCCTGGGGAAAGAGAGGGCAATGGGTAACTTAGCTCTGCTCAGGCCACAAGGCCAAATTCTAATCCAGGTTCTGCTACTGCCAGGCTCCCATGTCTGGATGTCCAGGGTCTGGCTGAAGTTTTAAAGGACCCATGTAGTGCACACTGTGGGAATAAGTTCTGGATGTACAAAATCTCCACTGTAGTTCTGCCAGTTCAGCAGAGCTGCTTCAGTCCAATACTGCTACAACCAAGCACAGCATCCCGCTGTACTGTATTTAAACACTGACAGATTATGGTTGTTAAACTGTGTGAGCTACACAACTATCAAGTTTAATCATCTTGTAACAATCTTCTGACATTAAAGCTTGTACCTCTGGTTAGTTTCCAGGTAGAGTCTCTTCATACGAGCACGCTGGAATTTTTTTTTTTTTTCTTCAAAACTTAAGACACTTCATAGGAAAACAAACCAACCACACATGTGCAAATCTGTTGTTGAGAGTATACGAAGGAGTGCATCTTTCCAGCATGTCATCCAGCCCAAACCCCAGAGGAAAACAACAGGAGCACAAATTCAGATATGCACGGCAATTATTCATCCTCTGATCTCATTTGAAGAACTGTGATACGCACTTAAGAGTTTTCAGCAGTTGCATTTGTTCCCCCTGGATTGAAGCAGTCTCTGAAGGTGCTACTTTTGTTTCTGCTTGTTGTCATTGTTGCCATAGGTGGAGCCCTTGTTAATTTCTGTAACCGCGATCATCCATCTGACACCAACAGAAGCTGCAAAACAAACACAGTTAAAGCTGTTTGAGGCTCGGCCTGAAGATCTGTACTGGTGTAGCATCATGAAAGAGACCTTGGATGAAAGGTGCATTTGATGCTCCCACACCTCCACATCAACTTATTTGCCTATGACATTTCATCAAGGAAGAGCCTCAGGCTGGACACGGATGGGTGTGAGAGGCACAGGCGTGCACGGCTCTGCATGCCACAGGAAGGGAATTCTGCTGGCTTTCAACAGCCCCACGTGTGAAAGAGCACAAGCAAGCACAAGGGAACTTCAGATCTTGATAAACAAAAAAAAAAGTAATTTGTGGTATTTGTTAATGGTAGTTCATTACAAGAAAACAGGTTAATTTAAAAGACTTTTATAGATTATTCAGTAATAATTCACCATGTGCAAAGATTATTTTATTTATCTGTAGCACTTAAAGTGACTAAGTTGAATGCGACTTAACCTAAACTCCTTCCCTCACACATCTGGTTTCTCTGTAAAGGGGCTCAGCTGCCCAAAATCTATTACTCTTCAAGCTTCTTCTCAGCTACCGTACATGTTCAGAACTGCCATGCTTGTTTCAGGCCTAAACCTATTAGGAAATCACAAACATCTTCCCTCTGCTCAGAATGCTTTCAAAAAAAACCAAACCCAAACCAAACAAACCTAAGAAAGCCACAAACCTCCCCGTCCCACTCTCTTTCTGACTGATGGTGACAGTAAGGTGAGGTGCTCTTAATGTCTTGTTCTCATCAGTCTTTACTTCTCTAAGATGACTCTGGATTCTCACCAGCCAAAGGACTTGTTATGGTTAAGTCAGTGCCTGAGCTCACCAAGAGAATCCAGAGGTTTCATGCCACTAGCAGGCATCCCTTGTGAACCGCAGGGCTGACACAAGGCCATATCCTGGCATTTGCTGCTCTTTAGGCCTGGAAGGGGAGGAGGCTGGCAGCTGGCAAACAGTGCTGCCCTGTGCTTTACCAGCTGCTACTTGGCACAACATGGGCCACGAAGAGCCATCACTACAGACTCGTGTTGTGTAGTCTGTCAGTAAATTGGCAGTTTTTAGTGTGCAAGCGGTAACTGGATACCAGGGATGAGTCACAGTAATGTCACAGCTTGGCTGGACACTGAGAAGCTGGTCTGCCCATGGGGCTGCCCTCAGGTCCTGTGGATGCCAGGAAAGCAGGGCCCTCTCACAGGCAGAGCTGTGCAGTGAACAGTCCAGAAAGGGAGCTGGCTCTGAGGGCACTCACTGTCACTTGCACTCCACTGTCAGTCTGTGAACAGAAACACACACCATTTAGACAAGCTAAGGGCTTCACGCTCATAGACAGACAAGAAAGAAAGCAAGAAAACCATCTCTGACATTTAACTGGCCATGAGCTGGGGAACACAAGAGAAAGATTCAACACGGAGCCTGCAGTCGGGGGTCATGAGATAACAGTAAGCATGAAATCATTAAGATTTTAACCACAAGGGATAGAAACAGCATCTGGAGATGGACACAGAGCAAAATAAGAGCAGCTGTTACAGCAGCCACACACCATACTGGGGATTTAATCCAGTTCCAAGAATGCCTAGACACAAAACCCAACTAATTCAGTATGTCTTTTTTTGTCCTTTGCTCCCTGGCAGAAGCTGCCACTGCTTTCTATCCCCATTTCACCCTGTAGCCCTCAGCAACCTGGGGAAGGTGGGGTGCAAGGAGGACTCCTTATGTTTGCCAAGCATGTGGAAGCAAAGTGGGGCAAGGCTGGGCTGCCTCACTGCTCTGTCCCTGCACTGCCTCCTCGCCACAGCTCTCCTGGAGCTTCAGTGTAGACCTGAGAGATACCTTCACATTTAAGGATTTTTTCACTTCTTGTTTCACATACAACTGTAGTAGGAGGAACTTCAGGCTTTTTACTTCAAGAAAGAGGAGAAAGGGAGATGAAGCAGTAACTAATCAGCAGTGCCTAACTTCATAGCTGTGTTTAAGACCACCCTGAGAAGTACATGAGAGAAGCTACTGGCTGAAGCATTCTTGTAGTACTCCACAGCAAACTGAAGTAACTGAGCTTCTGCATCTTTGTGCCCACCATTTCTCAGCATCCAAAAGATGCAGGAGGTTGCTGAGGACCTGCTCTGCCTCCTGGAGTGCCAGAGGCTCAAGGAGGGCAGAACTGACACAGTCAAGAGAGCCAAGAGTGTAATCACTTTCTTGGAACACATTTTAGCTCCAAGAAAATCACCACCTCCACATGTAGTAGCTCATCCCTCAGCAAAACCTAGCTCAAAGTATTTCCACCTTTTCTCTTACAACTAAGGATTTTTTCCTCATCTGTTGCCCTGCCTTTATACTGCACAGCAAGTGCTATAAACAGCACAGCAGGCGGGGGCATAAAAATTTCCCACATGTAGTTTGCACTTGAATTATATAGGTTATGCATTGGAATTGAAATTTGTACAACTAAAGACTGTATGAATGGTAGACATTTCCACTGAGGCCCTATCCTACATACTATGAAGTAGAAGAAACAAATAACACATTCACATAAAAAAAGTAAAGCCACCCCAATTCCCCCAATTTCTAGGCACCAGGCTGAAAGGCCAGACGATATGGCAGCTCCACCAAAAGGCAGAATTGACACAGGCATAATCCTGCACATGGTTTGTATCCTGTTGTACCACTTACTACAAAACCCTGCTGGCTTGTCCCCTCCTCACCTTCCATTCATCTCAGCCTGCAGGCATCACCAGCCTCGCTGCCGAGTCACACCATGCTCCAGCCCTGTGCTCCACACTCCATGCCCGGACACTGCCACATCCCCAGGTGTGCAGTGTGATCCCACCCACTCAGTGCACAGCACACACACAGCGGCCCATGGCCTCCCAACTGGCTCCCAGCTACTTGCTCTTGGTCAAAGGGAACGCTTCTCTCGCCTAGGACTGATATGTAGCTGCTGGCCCCATGCTATCAACCCAGATGCCACCGTGCTTTTAGCACTAAACATGGAATAGCTGCTGCTCCCTTTAAAAACTCCCTCATCTTTTTCATACAATCCCCTTTTAACTGCTGTTGACAGCTTTACAGTTAATTACTTCTAGAGCATGAAGGGTGGGTGTTCTCCTCAACACAAGTTATCAAAACATGAAAGGCAATGCAGTATTTGGTTCTTTGAAGCCAAATGAGACTGGGGAAGCAGGAGGAGGAAAAAAAAAGAAGTTGCTGTCAAATACAGATACTGACATTTGACAGATGTGCTTACTGCTTCAACACCAAAATATCAGCACCAAGTTTTAAATAGCTGTTGTGAGCTAAGTACCTACATCTCTTGCCATGTGTCCTGTGAAACTAAAGCTGGTTTTCAGAACACTTTTGTCCCTCAAACTATGTGAGTATTTATCCTCTGGAGCAGCAAATGCTTTGTATTGATTCAAGTAGTTTCACAAAGGGCTCCCAGTCCCAGAACAGCAGTAAGGTACGAGCACAGTGTGATGTCTGTTGGGAGTATAAACGGCCAAACTGCTGCACAGCAAAGCACAACGGGACAGCATTCACAGTATAAAGAATGTCATTTATTTAGGGCTGAAAGAGTTTGAGCTGAACCAAGCAGAGCTGTACATACATTGGTTATTCATGCTTAGATCTCAGAGTTAGGGTCTGAGGGATTGCTATCCTTCTACTCCAGCTCAAGTGGAGCATTTTTCTTAGGAGTTCTTTCCACCTGAACAGCCAGTTACTTACAAGCCAGTCAGTGTTCTCCTGGAGAGCACAATAAGCAGAAACTTACTTATCCAAAGGACAGACTGTCATTTATCCAAAGGATAAATTACAATCTAGAAACAATGCAGAGGGTACCAGGTAAAAGAACCTCCTAGTTACTCTGCTCAATCACAAAAGGTTTATTTTGTGCTTACCTGCACCTTTATCAGGTCCTGAAGCCCACCCTTCAAACCAGCAATCTACTACAATGGGTACTAGGGACTGCAGTAGAGTTCCTGATTCTGGAGTATCAGGTGAGCTGTCAAAGTGCCATAGAAAAAAACCAAACCACTACCTGTGTGCTTCAGTTACAAACAGTAAGAAAAGGTCTGCTAGGAGCAATGGGAAGAGCTGATTTTGTCGTCTGATAAATACCTCCAGTCTGCAAAAAAACCTTCCTTTTACATTGTTAAGCCACCAGGCACCAATTACCACTCCCACTGAAAGGCAACAAACGGAGTCCTCCCTGCTTTGCTACGCACTGGCTGTGCTGGGCAGACAATTCCAGCTGCCACCAAGAGCCACAACCTCCAAGCTGTGTTTGTGCCCATGCTCTGCTGTCTCCCAGCCACTGCAGGAGTCACTCTGGAGACTTGCCTAAAGCTGGAGACAAACTGCGGAATAAAATACTGGCTGCTCCTCTGTCAATAGATGGCTGCATCACATCCAGAACATTCATGACAGAGATCCCCCTCAAGATACAGGACACAGTTAAGGGAGAATGGTCTTCCTACAGAAACTCAGCTCTTGGCTACAAAAGTCAATGTGACAGCTTGGGCTGAGGTTTTTTCCTGTTTCCACAGAAGGAGACCAATTATTCCCAAGTAGCAATAACATTGATTTTAAAAGAATATGGCAAAACACAGACTGCAATATACTAAAGTAACTGTTGCTTTTTTGGCACATAATGACACATCCTGTTTTAAGCAACCAGGATAAACCAGCTCTGTGATTTGTCCGGTTTGACTAATGGCTGAGCTTTCTTCCACTCCCATGGATTCTCTTCCCTCCACAGCTTCACAGTGGCTGCTATCTGCTCATAAGTGCCATCATCCTTCTCATTCCCTGCTCATCAGCAAAAGATGGCTGAGTCTGATCGGGCAGCAGCCTCTACCACAGGTCCTCCACTGCAGGGCAAATCCCAGGCAAGTGGGATTGGTCAGGATTGGTCACTCCAGGTAGGAATGAGAACTCAGCTGCTGCTGAGCACAGAGGTGCTGCAGAGCCAGCAGAGGGCTGCAAGCTGCACCAGCCCACAGGCAGGGTAGGCATGTATGGGGCAGCAAAACACATCACACACCCTTCAAGGTGTTCTCTGCTGGGCTTTGGCAGCCTGGGAGCTCACCCCTAGTGCTGCTGTTCATTCTGGCAGCAGGCTGCTGTAGCCTTCTGGTATATCCAGTGTTACAGATAACCTGAGAATAAATCCTTTGGATTATCACTGCATTCAAGAGATGACTCAGAGCAGCCTGCTTATTAACATTTCCTTGTGGCTAGAAACAGAAGAAAGTTAAGTGGGGAACAAGAAAAGGAGAAAGAAATGAAAAGAAGGTAATTCTTGCCGTCTATTCTTGGTAGCATCATAGCTTTTTTTCTTTACAGGTTCTTTCTTTCACTTCTTGATAAACAAAGATGTGACCTAGGTCACTAATGGCAAGATTGCATTAGGCTTAGGGTGCAGGGTGAGGGTGTGATGTCACTCAACTAAATGGTAAAGGGCTAAATCCAAAACCATCACAAATGATAGTGCCAAGCAGTAAAGCAGTCAGCCCTGAGGTTAAACTCCAGAAACCCTGAATAATGGTGTGAGGCTCCCTGTGGAGGGTACACAAGGCATGAAGCACTCTGAAATGGCACCCAACCAACCAGTCTGCTGAATGAAGAAACTGAATTAAGAGGAAAATGCTGAAGGAAAGATGAAAAATTCAAACCATTTTACAATAGCTACGACTCAGTGCACCATTCCACAGGCCATTGTTCCACAATCCAGTGCCAACAGACTATGCCAGCACTTCTTCCAAACGCAGAACAAATGTCCTCGAGCAAATTGCCAGGCAGTAGCATTTACAATGGTGTCACACCTCATCCCACCCACTGCTGTTTACCCACTTTGTAAAGGAGCACAGGGGAGGCTGATTCATCTTTCAGTGCAAGCAACAGGGATTTGAACCCATTGCCTCCCATTCCTAGCATACCCCAACCACAGTGCTCACTCTACACTCCCACTCTCTTCACCAGTCAGAGAAGAGGAAGAGGCACCGTTTATGACTTCCAACAAGCAAGGTGGGTAGAAAAAGAGGCTTTTAAGTTGTAGTTGCTGCCCCAAGGAATTCTTACACATTTTACACAAAGCATTTCCAGGGTAACAAGCACCAACAGTTTCTCCAGATGAAAAAAAGAGCTCAGGATTCCCTTCTCTTTTCCTCTACCCTGCTCACCTAATCTACCAACTATTATGCTGGACCTTACCCTTGCTCATTTTCCTTCCTCTGGCTCAAAGCATCATGAAGGAATTTTCTGCCTGCATACACTCACACACTCACACACACACACACACACAAACTGTTCCTTTTCCAATTACCTCTATAGGAAGCATCAACAGGAGCTTAATGCAGCATTTGTTTTGGTGGGCAGCTTCTGAAAAAGAGTATTGTGTGCCTACCACATCAAACTTTTCATAGATGGCTAAAAGGATGTTTGTTCATCTTGATTAATCTAGCTCAAGATTCAGACTTCTGAGAATGCAAAGAAATGTTATGTGCTAGGAACAATTTCCTGAGTAGAGAGCAAAGATCCACTTCTGAGACAAGGAAACGTTCCACATTTTCCTATCTCCTGTGTTGTTATTCTGGACATGGCTTTTAAAGTCAGCTCTGTATCCAAGTTCTCTCAGAGCCAGAAAGAATGTGAAGTTCTGTTTCTTTTTCCAAGCTTGTATGTAATAAACACAGATGTGAAGGCGATGAAGTAATAAATACCGGTGATGGTCAGTGCAGTAACAGACAGTATTTGCTTTAAGAATCTATGGCTTATTCTGGAAGGGAACTTATTCTTCAAACCAGCACTCATAGACACCCAGATATGATGCAGTTTGCTAAACTGACCTGGTTCTTGCTTCCATGAAGAACACCAAATAAGATCCCCCTTTCTTTGGGCCAGCTCCTTGTTTTGTTTTCCTTCCTTGTCTTAAATGTCATACTAGTTGAAATATGAACCAAGGCAGTTCAGAACTGCCGCAGGAACTATACGAATCACTTGTGACAGGCCATGCCCTGTGCTATGTAAGTCAAAGTAGATGGCCACAACAGGCTGTGCTTAAATCATGAAACTGTGGGTTACCAGTGCATGACACATCAGACTATGATTAGACAAAAGCATTCTCAGAGGAATAAATTATCCTTGTGCTTCTCTTCTAAGCATTTTAAGTAGAACACAGCAGCACACAACACAAGAAAAGAAAGCCTTTTGTAGGCAACCCACCAAGAAGTCACTGTTGAATTCTACAGAAACAGAACATTTTCTATGCAGCTCTTACAAAAAAGAGTACAATTATAAAAAAATAAACAAAAATAGAATCTTTTTAGCCTAGTGCAGGCTAGAGTGGACATATTAGATGGGCTGTTGAATCCACAAGTCATCCTTATATTTAGCAAATCTCACAAAATCCTATTACAGTTACACTCTAAGTAATTGTTTTGAATCAGAAAACTTACCTATTATAATGACAAATGCAAAACTAGCCAGTGTCAATGATGATCCACTGTTGATCATGTTGATGAGCAGCTGGAACAAAGGATATAGCAGCAATAAGGCCCAGAAAAGCCAGTTCAAAAGTGTCCATGGTCGACGGGGTGGTATTGTAGGGACTGCTGGGTAGGTTCCTGTGCGGTAATATTCTTCCTGGAATGCATCCTAGTAGGACAAAGGAGGGCAACAATTAAATGCCCATCTGCGAACAAAACTGGCTTTGATGTTCCTCTTTCTGGAAGCTTGTAACCACAGGGGAAGATCAAAGACCAGCTGATTGCTGGAAAGCTTGTACTTTGAAGTCAATGAACACAGAGTCAAAAAAAAAAAAAACAACCAAAAAGGAAAGGGGAAGCATACACTGATGTGCAAATACTTTCTTTCTCCTACATACAGCAGCCTGAAAAATGTCATACCTGGAGAATGTAGCAGCCTAGGAAAGCAGGAGGGATGATGGGATATACACTCCTGCAGCAGTGCAGACATCACTGCTGAACCTCCTGCAGGAGCCACAGCCACTGCCCAAGCACTGCAGGTAGGCCAGGGAAGTGTCTGGGCTCCATATTCAGCAGCATCCTCTATTCCCTCTTGTTTTCTCCAACTGCTGCTCTCAAACAGCACCCACAAACCTGTCAGAAAAGATGACCAGGCATAATTTTGTCCTACACTCTGAGGAACACCACCCCTGCTTCTGCCTTTGTCCCATGGATGTAGTCTTGTTCACATTGTTCCCATGATGCTTGTGGTAGGAAGTCTGGCTGCTGAACCTCCCTAGAGGCAGTTTGGTGTGTAAACATCACAAAATCTCTCACTGGCTTTGAGCAAATGACTTGACCTTTAAGCACAATACAAGGATGATAATGGAGTGGGGGTTGTTTTTTTCTGTTTTGTAGCAGCTGTTTTTTAATGCACAAGTGATTTTGAATTCAGTACTTTCCTGTGTAAGACACATGGGTGAATAGCATTACCTTTACTGATCTCACCAGCCCAAGATATAAAAAGTAGTTGGGGATAAAAACCCCTCCCTCCTGTTAAAAGCAAAGATTATTAATCTGCTATCTATTAATCTATGTTATCACAAAAAACTGGTTAATTAATGATGTCAGCATTAGACTGACATAAAAAAAAGAATTTTATCATAATGAAGTATGGTATTTATTTAAAGAAAGGGTTTTTGGTTTCTAAAACTTCTAGGAAAGCCAAGACTAATCAACCAAAAGACTATTTTTTCTACTATGCCGTAACTTTACACTTACACTCCAGCTGACACAAACAATTCTTTACTTACTTGATAGCAACTTGAGCAATTACAAGCTGTTACCACTTTATCTATCTCAAAATGAACATTCAGCTTTTAACGGATTATGCAGTAATTAAAGCACTGTAGTCTCTTTATTGAGATTACAAAAATTATAAGTGTTTTACTCATGTGAGCTGGATTGTAGTGAGATCACTGTGGCCAATTACTGAGCCATCTTCACCACAGTTCACAGTGTATAAAGTTCTTTTCACAGTGCAGTGATGACTGCTTTAGAATGCAGAGCTACTCATCATTAGAAAACTGAACTTACTATATGTGGCAGGCACACCCTTTTCTCTTTCAGGGTTTTTGCTTCCACCCCTCAGACGAGAGTGGGACACAAGAGCCGCCCTGAGGGGCTGTGGCTGCAACCACGGCCGGGCACGGTGTGGGACAGAAAAAATCCTGAAAGAGAAAAGAATGTGCCTGCCACAACTACACACAGTTATGTTTCCAAATACTAGTAGTACCCAGGAAAATGAAGAATTCCTGACTACTGCTAGCATTGCCATTAGAGGGCCTGCTACTACAGAGAGCAGAACAGGATTGCTTGAAAGCAGCGTAGCAGGGTTTTCTTTGTTGGCTCTGCGTGGCATGGGGGGCAGCAAAACCACTGACCACACCTCACTGAGAGGCTTGAGACAAATGGAAAACAAACGCAAAAGGCAAAACAATGTCAAGGCTAACAGCTCCACCACATTTCCCACTGTCTTGGGGAACAGCTCTTCAGTCACAATTCCTTACCCTTAAATGCATTTATTCACTTGCAAAGACATCTATGGGGTCATCAGTCTTAAAGCTTTTGCGAGGGTGCCTATGATACCCAGCAACAAGACAGACTTTAAATAAATAACAGACCTCACCATTTCCCAAAATCACCTTACTCACATTAGGTTCCTTTCATTCCTCTGCCTACAGAGCTTCTTTTCAGTTTGTAATAAATTCCATCCACACAGGTATCACACATTCTGACGTGGAAACATGCTCCCTTCTATTGCCTCTACCAAATTTAAGTCACTTCAGGCAGTGAGGGGAAGGGGTAATACAGTGAGGAGAAATCAGGGAATATCCATCTCCTTGTGAGAGGCTAACTGGATTCTTCCTCCTCGTTCCACCAGGACATCTGACAGCAGAGGTATGCTGCTGCCCCGTTGTGAGGAAGCCCACAAAGAACGAGTATGCAAAAATATATTCTTTGTTCCCAAACACTGGAGTTCTGTACACTTCTCCTCTTCAGTTAGGCTTTGCTGATTCCCTAGGACACTTCTGCATATATTTTCAGGCCCTGTTTTCCAAGTTTATTTTACAAGCAAGAAGAATTAGAAGCTTGCTCTCTTTTTAATGAAAATTAAGATTCTCAAGCAGAACTTCTACTTCAGGCACTGAGGCTATAAGGAGATTTAAAAAAGAAAACAAAAACATGAAATAACGAGCAGAGTTGTGACTACTACATATTACCTCTTCAGACCCGGCAAAAAGATCCTCAGCCCAGTCCTTGTTAAAGTCAAAGGGAGCCTTTCTAGCAATGGCAGTTAAAAAAAAAAATAAAAAGAGAAGGCAATGTGCAACCCCAGTTGAACTTCTGCCATAATTTAGAACTAACTGATACAGTGCTGGCCATATGTGGAAGGACAAAATCTACCCCCAGTGAGGAAGAAGCATATGGAGATGGTACTTACTGTAAACCTGGGAAAGAATAGTCTTTGGTTTAGAGCAGCAGCACAATGCCACTGTTTATCTGGCAGGACTCTGTTGAACTGCATTTGTAGCAGTGACTTAAGCCAAAAAATGAAGTGATAACTAGCAAGAACATAAGCACAACAGGCTCTCACAGAGAAGTAGCTCGGAGGTAAAAATCAACGGAGTAAGATTTTCTTGAAGACTCTCACTCCTTTACTAATGTCAATATGGGGAAATAAATACATTAAAAATAAAAAAAAATCAGTGTCCCTTCATGTCCAGTAACTGCTGATTTCATTATTTATTCCAACAGCTGTGCAGTCCTGATCAGCTTGGATGCACAGGCCTTGACCTCAGTACCTGTGGCACTCTCCAGCCACTAAATCAGGCTACTACAGCATAATTCAGTACACTGTATGTGAGTCTTGAGAAACTACTGCAAAATTATTAAACTTCTTGAGAATAAGCAACAGAACAGGGAACCATAATGTGTGTTAAAATAGGGTCTCTGCTTTCCAGCAGCATGCACATCTTGTCTTACTTTGAAACAGCAAGTGAAGTGCTGCAGCCAAAACAGACAAAGCAGGGGATGAGTGTGTACCTTGCAATGAATTACTGCCCTTTGAATAACATTTTTTTACATTATATCATAAATATTTTCTGACTCTGAAGATAATCTGAAACAGAATTAAGTTTTGGAAACAGCACCTGGGTGGGCACTGCTTTTCGTTATCTGACCTAAGAGCCTGTCATCTTTCTAAGATGCAGGGCAGAAAGGTGAAACAAAATTGTATTTTTACCCTGCAGGTGGGCTTTCACCATCTCAGAACTCTGGAAGAAGTTGTCCCTGCTCTATATTCTGCCAGTTTGATTTTACAAAGACATGGGCTTCAGTAAACCAGGAATGACTGCAATGAAGTAAGTTTCACTAAAGTAAAACAGCTGCCTTCAGAGAAAAACTAAAATCATCATCAAAAATCCCAAACCAAAACATTAACAAACAACTCCCTCCAGCATTAATCAATCAAAAATATTCACATAACCAAAAAAGGTTTTAGTGGAATGGAAAACTGAACAATGCATACTTCACTCCTTGATGCAAAACTTCACTCCTGTACTTAAACAGGAAACCAGAGACTTAACCAACCAGCAAATGAAGTTGTTGTAAAGAACAGATATGATGAATACTATGATATATTGTACAATATAATATTATGAAGCATAGATGCAACTTCTGGTAGCACTAGAAGCAACTGAGTGTCTGCCAAAGAGGGAATAACAGAAAAATCTTGGAGTAAATTACTGCAACTATGTAATAAAGGATTGAGGAAAACAATCCCCACATTTACACTTACGTTTTTGTCTTGCAAATGTCTGAATAGTTCTCAGGAACATGAAACAGGGCTACAAAGTCATAGTAGCAGAAAGTGGACTTCTGCAATGCTGAGCAAAAAGACCACTTACATGTACATGGGCCCGTGGGTAAAGCCTGCTTTTCTGCAGAGGTGCTGGGGGCTGTGCGTGAATTGGGTGTTAGGAGCACAAACTATGAGAAGGGGGATCAGAGGCAAAGGGACTAGAGCTACACTTGAGGCTTCAAGACACATTTCCTTTCCACATTCTTGTAAGCAAGCTGCTTAGAGGAGCTATGAATTACAGCAGAAACAGTCATGGTTTGAAACTGAAAACTGCCAGGGCACTGTCAATACAGAAATGCTAATGTGGTGTACTGGGAGGAGCAGGACACAAATGGCACAGCAGAATTTTGCTGTCCCAGTAAGAGGAAACCAGAGCATAGCTATATTCTATAATTTCTAAATCCAAAGCCCTGCTGCATACCAGTCTGAATATATAACTTTGATCAAGGTATTGAAGCAAAGTGAGCTGCCAGGCCCTCATGCTGTGCATACCTATGACTCCCACTGATTGAAATGGGATTGCTGTGTGCACTCAAGAAACACATCCCCCAACAACTATCTCTAACACTCTAAAAACAGCCCAGAAGAAACAGACTGTGAAAGAGGAAGGATTCATATGAAAGCATTTGCAAATGAAAAAAATGAAAAAAACCCAAACTACTGGGCATCTAGAAACACAATAATTATTCTCTCCCAATCCTATGAAATTAGGAATCTTAAATGCATGTCTTCTATACCCACAGTGTGAAAACAATTTATCAGCCTGTCCTTTTCATGGTGGATGTCTGCCTTAGTAAAAAAGGTAGGGTAAAACAAGGGACAAAAATTATAATGGTGGATGTCTGCCTTGGTAAAAAAGGAAAGGTAAAACAAGGGACAAAAATTTTAATGAACTAAAGAAAATGTCTTATTTAGCCTGCAAATTACTTCTTGATTTAGAATGTGTGTTTTAGGGGAAGGGGTCTTTCTACCAATCAGAAGGCAGTAAGACAATTTTGATTTTTGTATCCTTATGCAACTTTCTAAAGAAGAGGCTTAAAACTGCTCTAGAAAGACTTGTTTAAGCTTTCTTCCATGTTGCTCTGTGTACAAAATGAAAGCAATCATAAGCACAGGATCAGTTTGCACATAAGGAAACAGAGCACTCACCCTGAAAACAAACTCAGCCCAAGCCTCCAAATTATGCACACTGTACACATGAACACTGCAAAGGTCTACTGGCACTACAAATAACCATGCACTAGTGGCTCACAAATGCTGTCTTGACAAAAAAATCCAACCTTTTCTTGATATAGTTTGTGGAGCCAGATAGAACATTCCTGCTCATCTTCTGGGATATCCTCTAGTGGAATCCGCCTGCCAATGGTAAACAAGAGAAATGAAAGAATATTAAATACTTTGACTTTCATGAACAGCACTAGCATTGTACAGACAGATTATCTGACAGAAGACTAAATACATTTTTCACCTTTTTTAACTTGTGCAACACCTACAGCACTTCAACAAGCAAATACAGAGGAGATTATGAAGAAATCTGTGATAGTCCCCAGCTAATCAACAAAGCAAATTTAGCCAGGTTTACCCTGCATGTAACAGCTTTTCAGGATGGGTAAGCAGCTACCCCTGAGTTGTGAAAAGCAATTTTCATGCTATGGCAGGTTGGTAGAGATCTTCTTTCTGTTACCCACTTGAAAACATTCCCTTATTTGACCAAGTGTGATTTCAAGTACACGCTCCAGCTTAAAAGGAATTAAAATATTGATTACTTGCCTTACATATAAATCTGCATGATACTTCTTTCCATTTAGAACTCCCAGCAATGTTGGATTTTCATTATTTCTAAAATTAAGGGTAGAATCATAGACTGCAGAAACTACAAGAAGAAAAACAGGTTATGTAGTAATACATAATTCCATTATGTAGTAACACCATGGAAATAAGTAATTATCTCTCAGACAAGCAGCATATTTAAGTAAGTCATCAGCAATACCACCACAGTTTGAGCTGTCACCAAGATAAAAATGACAACAGAATATTCAACATGCAGGTTTTCAGAAGCCAAATAACCAGTGACTTTCAGGAACTGCACGAGCAGAATGGAAAGGTTTGATCTCCATCCACCCATGCCTCTTCCTCGTCAGGTGAGGTATGATAGCTTCTGACAGAATACACCTAGGACTTCCTAGGAGTCAAATGATTGCAGAACTGCTACCTTTTTCAGCTCGCTGGGAATCAACAACTACCCCCTAAATCTGAAACAACAAGGCAGATACACATTTTATAAAAATGAACTATACCCTTTGACCAAGAACAGGTGAAGTGTGTGTGAGAGACTTCTGCAGCAAGAGGGCTTAGTACAGCTGTAAATGAAAATGGCCGGGGTCCAAAGCAGCCCCCGGGTCATGTCCATTGTTTGGGAACTCAGGCACTTCCTCCAGGGCAAAGGCAGAGAGAGAATGACACACCACATCTTGTGTGAGCTGCCTGCTGCTATGAACACATGCAGATGTGAGGGAGAACACGGAGGTTCTGCTGAGCAAAACTTCCAGCACTGAGAAAACTGCACAGCTCAGGACTGGGTGGGAACAGTAAAACCATTTGCAAAGGCTGATGGCAGACAAACTAAAAGAGCAGTAACAAGCAGCTGCTACAGAAAAAGCATTCACTGGTTAGAACCGCGTGAAGTGCTGCAAAAAAGTTTATTTGAACACATCCCTAGATACACTATTTTCCTGATGTCACAAAATTACCAGAGAACGATTCTTTTTCCTGACACTGAAATCAGTTGTGCATAATGGCACGAACTCTAAGTGCAATGACAGCAAAAAGCTTTCCTATTTTTTGTCACAAATGTGACTAAGAAGCATTTTCATGTGTAGCCTGTTGTATTTTAGGCTTTCTGCTCTAGAGTTTTGCAATTATTAATAAAAATGCATATGGTGAACCTTTATTGTCAGACCTCTTGACCCACCTAAGAAAGATTTATTACACAGGACAGATTTGCTCTTGGTTTTGAAACCTCTCTAGCTATGAGAGATAAATATGGTTTGGTCTCAGCATACAGCTCCCAGAAACTCACCATATCATTTGTTACTGTAAAACTGAATTCACAGTGGAGAAAAGAACAGCCTGGCTTCAGTGCTGAAAGGAAATCCTGAAAACAAAGGCCAAACCCCTGTCAGTGCAAAAGGACTCTGTCCCTCACTAACAACTCCATTCTTTTCCTACTACAATTGGGTTCTCAGCCCAAACTCAAAACTAAAAACAAGACAGAATCTACTTCAAGCACACTTCTCTCCTTGTAAAATGCAAGTATGAAATTACTTTCTTTTAAATCAATTATCTGCCTCCATTTTTAAGCTTCTTAGTGTAGAAGGATTTTACTAATCTACTCTAATTTACTAATCCAATGTAATTGAAGGAAAACAAGAGCTCAGTTTAGTTTATACAGTGTAAGCTTCTTAGTTTATTCTTTAATAGCATGAGATTATTCTAAGAACAATAGGGATGCAATAAAGCAAAGTATGATATACACAAAATTTTTTCTTCTATCTCTTACAAGGCATCTACATTTGAGTTTTTATATTAATTGGGTTTTTGTTGAGACACATTGGAAAATAGTTCTCCTGTTCTAAAAAATACTGCTGTGGAGATGGACAGCAACATCTTCGTGTGCTGACAGTCTTACACAGAGCTTTCCTTTTCTCCAGGGGAAAAAAAAAAAAGCTATTCCAGTTTCCAACTGGTATGTAGTTTAATATTCAGTCTAGTACCTTTTAATAACACAGTGAATCTTTTGGTGCAAAGCAGTGCCAAACCCAAGACAACAAGAGCAATGTGCAGGAGTAAACAGACCTTTGTTATAAATGAAGATAACTAAAGATTTTAGCTTTCTCATTCTGAGAGTTCAGGAAAAGAATAACAATGTAAGTGTCCAAGAAAAAGGCTGCATGAAATTAAAATTTGCCAGAAAGCATCCAGAGTCAAAGAAGCACTAGCATGCTGTATGATACACTGAAACTGGTTATCATTAAACATGGATTATGTAATTGCATAATTAGAATTGGACATCTCATGACTTTCTCACCCAAAAGCTGAAGAGTCCAGAAAATTCACAATTCTAAAACAATTAAAAAAAAAACCTCCGTGGTATCTTGAAAACATTGCAACTGTCTCACTCTCAGGCTAATACAAGCAGCAATTGCAAAGTTTCCCTTCAATTGTGAAATATTTTTTCAAAGGAGTTATATCTCAGAATTGCTTTTTCATTAAAAACTAAACACAAATATTTTAAAGCTTTTTCTTTCTGTCAAAAAACCGATTAGTTTTTTTTGGTTTTGTTTTTGCTTTCTAATCTCTGCCCAGATTTTTTGTCATATCTTTAACTTTGGGTTTTGTCTACAGAATTCTGACAGAGAGCTAAATACTTAAGAATTTAAGATTTAATTTCTTAACTTCAACCTAAAAAAAAAAAAATCTTCAGATTACATATCTAGAGAGGATTTCTCTTACTTTGATTGTTCTCTTGAATTTCACGCATTACTTTGTGGCCATGGTGGATTATGCCAGGATGATTCACTGACAAAGCGACCCACAGGCAATGACTATGGCTACATGCATCTTCATGATAGCACAAAATGATCTGAAGACTGGAAAAGGGAGGGAAAGTACAGTGACATTCACTGTACTGCTGATGTGACACCACCTTGACACAATCCTTTGATTTAACATTTCATTAATTGGGCCAGCTTAAACAAAAACCACTCATCCTCTTGAACTTGGTTACTTGCTCTGGATGATGAATAGAAACCCACTTGACAAAAAATTCCAGGACTAATATACAGCTTATGGGGGGAAAAAAGTAATTGCAATACCCCCAAACACTGTCATAATGACCTCTATGAGAATATCACTCTGAAGTTTATTCTCATGCATTCCCTCTGGGACAGCAGTTCCTAGCATGCACAACTGGAGGAAAAGGTGCACAACAAAACCTGGGCTTATCTACAATCCATCATGAAGAACATTTTAAAGTCAAAGTCTTTACTAAATAAAAGCAGCTGTAAGGAACTGCCTGATATACAACCAGACAGTAAAAGTAACAGTTAAATATATTTTTTGCAGTATTTGATAAATCAATTTTTACTGTAAGTAATGGATGAATGTTTTAGAAACAGATTTGTATTTTCATTTGCTTCTATGAATAGTACAGGTAACAAACAGCAATTTATTAAGAAAGTTAACAGCTTCTAGAAATTAAATTCCTGAGGACAGCATCTGTAAAACCATACTGGTACAAATGGTCACTGACAAAAATATCAGGACAAGTTCAGAAAGTATTAAAAGTATTTCTTTAAGAATCAAATTATGTATGGAGAGCTGAACTTCTATAAGCAAGTTCTGAAGAAAAAAAATTCCATTATCTCTTATGAAAGTGATTAGTTAGGAGGGAAGGCTCCAATATATGCACATTAGGTAGGCTTACCAGACTGAAGTCACCAATGTCTATTTCCAACTACTTCAGAACTGTTTCTAGAGCAACTGCAGCAGGTAGCATTAAGACTTGATACAAAATTTTGAAGAGAACCAACCTGTGATCTCTGCTGCATGGGTGAATCACATCTACAGCCAGAGAGCCAGCATCTACCCATCCCATGGTACTACAGCCTCTGACAAGCTGAATCACACCCTTGTCAGAGAGGAGGAAAAAAAAAAAAAATGGGACAGGAGCTCTGTCACACCCAGCTGTGAACTGGTCCCAGACCTGTGACTTGGCTCCACTGCTATGTCATGCTGCAGCTACATCCCTTAGCAAGGCACTCCAGCCAGGCCCATCCCTTTGGGGGAGAAGAGAATGTGCATCAACCTCAGTGGCAGAGCCCAAAACAGGCTCAGGCCACTCAGCACTAGTCCCTCACTTTCAGAGATACACAGGGATATGACCTAATTTCTAGACAGTATTACATTTCCAGATCATGGACTGTCAAAAAAGACTGCTCCCACATTCTCTATTCAAAAATCCACATGGACTTATTACCTTTACATGATAATGCTACAGGGAGTCCTGGAAAATAAGACATTGTTTTCAAATGCTCTTTACATAATTCCCTTGTCTCTACAAGAGAGAAACATACAGCAACCCAAGCAGTAACCTTTCTATCTCCCTCTCATTGCAAAAAATAACAAGGCAAGTAAAGCAACAAACCTAGAAGAACCTGTAACACCAGTCTGGGGTCATCCAACTCTCAGAGGTTTGTTGGTTGGATTTTTAAGCTCAAGTTTTTTCTGAAACTGTGTATGAGAAGTTATGAGTACTTTTTCTTGAAGCCTCACAGGGAAATACTGCCTTCTTACAGGCTTTACACTAGTTGATCTAGCAAATTACAGCTTCTGGATTGAGGCAGTGACATATACTCTACTCCCCTAAATAAATAAGTAATGTAGCAACTTCAGTCTCCTTTTTCTGAAGGTATTTCAACTATTTAGAGTACTAGTAAGTGTTATGGTAGTATGTGGCATAAATGTCCAAAACTTTTTATGTCACTTGGATTTCCTAAAGTTGTTTCCTTTTGGAATGTTTTCCCACAATCAGCTGCTTGTCCACCATCACACTGTATTTTGTTTGCATTACACAGAGCAATGAAAAGAACAAAATCACCACCAAAATAACCTGTTCCTGATTCCCAGCTCAGGGCATAGAAGCCACAGAGTTTTGACTCAAGTCTTTTTCTGTGCCTCAAGTCTACTACTGCCTGCCCTCAGCAGAACAGTCACCTATATTCCAAAGGCAAGACTAAACTGTGCTCTTTGGGGGGTTTCTGGATGCTTCACATAACTTACCGCTTTTTCATGGATCAGAAAGAATCCAAGCTGTGCTCTCCATCTTGGGGGAGGGAAGTTGTGGGTGCCTGCGAAGCTACAACAGTGGTATGATCTACCTGGCTTGCCAGAGCATATTTAGAAGAAATACACGAGATAGCAACCCAGCTGACTGGGAAGTTTTTCTTACAGCAGCTTTCCCAGATATGCCACATAAAAACATGTCTTCAAGGACAAAAGAAGTTTTGACATTAATTTCAGTCAAGCTGGAACATTTTCTTCTAAACCAGAAACCACTTTTTTCTTTCTTATACATCAGCCATCTAACACACAAATCTACCAGACCCCAAAGACCCTGTGACACTACAGCTACTTAGCACTGGCTTTCCTTTGCCTGTGAAGTACACAGCAGAAGACTCTGATAGTAGTATTAATCAAATAATATCATATATAGTATTAGTCAAAGAATATCACTTCAAAGGCAACATGTGCAATCTGATGTCACTTTAAAGCTGGCAAATGCAAGTAACCAGAAATAAATGGCGAGCTCAAAACAATGTTAATGAAGAAAAACTTACTCATGTTCTATAATGTAGAAACTGTAAATTTCACCTACATGTATCTTCAGTCAAGGCCTACTCCCCTTCCTCAGCTCCATTAAGAAACTCTAAAGGGCAAATCTATACAGAAATTTCAAGCAGAATATTTTTGATCTTAAAATTGCATTATTTCAGGTAGTCATTTACCACAAAAAAATTATTTTAAGACACACCGTCTCAGATTCTCTACTGATGCATTTGCTTCATTTAGTATTTGCTAAGGGATTCTAAAAAATACTATTCTTTGGCAATAGGTACAAAATATGCAACAAAATACATACCAATTGGTACCAAATATGCAACTGAGACTCCTCAACACAGTCACAGTTAACAAACCATTACAATAATAAAATAAAACAAAAACAAACAAACAAAAACCCAAAACAAAAAAACCCCGACCAAAATCAATCCAACAAACTGATTCAGGACTTTGTAATTAAAACCAGAGAGTAATGAAAAAACCAGATGCTTCTGAAAGCATCCCAGGATTTTTGTCCTAGGACACATGCTACAGGGAAAAGAAAAGCATGGCAAACTGTCAGCAGTTACAGGAAATAATCATTTAGCATTGTCCCCTGTGACTTTCCTTACCTACATTTCTCAAACACTGCACGGTGACAGCAAATCCTTTTGTTCGTGGCAGAAGGTGGTACTTGAGCTTGGGCAGACCTTTGGCTTCAGCTACCTTCATGCTGATCTGGTGCTTCTGTTCAGTGAACCTTGTGCCCTCACAATGAATCAGGAACTAAAACCAAGACAGAACTACGGTTAGATAGAAGCTCAGGTTTTCTGCTGACTGAGCAGAGTTCTCTCGAATTCCCACCAGCACAACCCAAATTAACACTGCTAGCCGGGACAGGTGTAGCTACATACACATTTATGTAATTTATTTGACTGAAGTAGCAAATCCCAATCAACCAAAAAAGAAACCAACCCAAAAGCCCAAATCCAAACACTCATCCAACTTGCCATCCAGTCTGAATCTCGGCCTTTAGGCTTTAACGTATGCTCTGCTACTTGCCATCAGAATGACTTAATTTCTCTGAGTCACTCCATCTCTAATAAGCTGTTAGAAAACACTCAAAACATAGTCCTGTTACAAGTCTCTCTCTGATGGTTAAGTGTTCAAACATCATGGCATCTAAAACTTGCTAAGTGACTAAACCAGAGGCATTTCTAGGAAATGCTTCAGTGCCCACCTTGCTTGCCCTCACTCTTTTTGCTTTCTCTATGGCACTCAAGGTCCGTGGAAAACTTCAGGCAGTAACTTTGATGCCAATGAGACAGCTGTTAACAGAGGTAAGGCAGCACATGCAGGACAACTGAAAGGCTCATGCTCTTATGAACTATACAGTAGAAGTGCTCAGATATGAATAATTACAATCTTGCCACTGGCAGGCAAGGGGAGAGCACACAGATCTCTGGAGATTTACCACTTGCTCCTCTGCTTTCTGCCAAGAATGAATGCAAACTAACACATCAGGGAGCACTGCCAAATGACACAAAGTAAGTCCTCATAACCCACAGCAAAAACGTAGCCAAAAAGACAGAGATATTGAAGAAACTAGCCAAGCAGCCAGCTTCAGTTCTAGCTCATCCAAGAGCGCTTTTACTCATCTATTGCATGCATAATGTTATTCTGATTGATGAGACACAGAGAAACTGATGAGAAAGTGTCTCTAGTTCACTTAGCATGCTTTGCTTTGTCTATTTTCCAAGGTGCTACTGTTACATCTTTTGACATTATGTCTTCATACAAAAGCAAATTAAAACTCCAGACACTGCAATAACCCCAGGTGTACATCAACAATTATCTCTCTTACATAGGTATAGCTTCTTTTTAGCAATCCCTCTACAGGAGTATCTACAGGATGGTGGTGGCTTGTGCTCACTGATTAGAGTTGAGCTGCCTATGTGTATAGAAAAGTCACAGAGCACAGGCAAATCTCTGGAGAGAAACTGAAACTAAAAGCCCAGAATCAACCCTTTGCTAGACAGGCTCCTGCCTGGAAGTCACTTAAACACTGAAGCACAGAGATTAGTTTTGATTGCTTAGTACTCATTTAAATCAATGACAATTAACAAAAGGAATTTGTTTAAGAGCATGAGAAACACAGCATATACACTTTCATGAGGAAACAGCAATAGCTTCTGTAGGGCCCAGGGATGTTGCTTAAGATTCCATTTCTTTAACTGAATTGCACTCTTGCCATTGCTAGCTCAGAAGAACTGTAATTTTTATTATTCTTGAGAAGAGGAAAAATTCAAAGGCTTTTCATTCTCAGATAAAGAAATGCCAGGCACGGTGAACACTAAAAAATTATGGTGATGCAAAAAGTAAGACTTTCTTGTTACTGAAAGGTGACACCAATCCTCTCCCTGGAACAGAGACAATGGCTACCTCAGGCCACTCCTCTGACCAGGTGACTTCCACTTCCACTGGGCCATGTCTAATCAAACACCTTCACAGGAATGGCAGAATCACAGGGAAGGAGAAAACTCTAGTATATTAACTCTGCAATCTAAGGTGAAAGAAGAGCTTAGGTAACAAATATAGCTGATGTACTTCAGTACAACACTGTCAAATGCATCTGTTACACAGCCATGACCCTTACATCTACCCTTATCCAGCACCTGTAATTAGAGAACCACAAAATTTACTGAGTGGATCACAGTGCTATATTTATTGTATTATAATATTATTTTTGCAGCAATATCTGCAGGGCTTCATACTACAGAGAAAGAAACAGATAACAAAGTACTTTGGAAACGTCAAAGAAAATTCAGTTGAGAGTATTCTACTGATACTCCCATGGAAGCTAATGAATCAAAAGTCTCAGGAACAACCTGGCAAGCATTACATATTGCCTGTGCCTCTCATTCCTGCTACCTCACACTCCATTTGTTAAGCATCACTCACCCAAAAGTTTTCAGGGTAGTCACGAAGATTGAGCAACTTCTGTACCACAGTTTTCCGATCTTCCTCCCACTTGCGCTTGCAGAAGACTATCTCTAGGAAATACCACATCCAGCCAATGATAGGCATGTAGGAGAGCTCCTTCTTTGCAAGAACTTTGGAACTCTGCAAGACAGAATCAGAGCAAGTCAGAGTTAAACCACCAAAAGAGTGCACTGTGGGTACGAGACTTGCATAGTTTAGACACAAAGATATCCATTTATATTGACCAGACCCAGTTTTAACATCAGTGTAAAAGCAAAACAAAGAAAAATAAGTTTCTCTCATCTGACAGAACAGTCAAATCTAATATCGGGTATCTGCATGGAAGATTTCTAGAATTTAATGAGTGTGCGTTGCTCTCTCCTACCCAAACACTGCAAACCAAAAGAGAAACCGAATTCCTTCAAACATGGAGGAATCCATGCAAATGACCTCAGCTGTATCAATCAAAATTCTTAATTCAATCAGATCGTGGCAGTGGCAGCTCAAATTCCTTTAAGATACCTTGAAACAATACATCTCATCATGGAAAGGGAAAAAAAAGAGAGGAAAATAAAAAGCAGAATCACAGAGACACTGCCGCACAACATACTGATGCTATGCACACATGGTTTACCAACAGAAGAAACCTTAAACACTAGAAACAACAGCAGCAATAAGAATACTTAATTTTTGTTCAGTTTTGTTTATGAAAGGGCATACTTCGAGTAGCACATTTTTCTTCAAAGCATGCTTCTGGAGTAGGAAAAAACAAAAAAAGCATTCTTACTGTCTCACAGGAGTGACAAGAACACTGAAGTGACTGGTCCAGACATTCGACAGAAAGTCTGTGATTTATCAAGCATTCAACATGCTTTGTAAATTAATCCTACTCCAGAGTTTAACTCTGTAATAATCTCAAACTAACATCGCCTAGGGCAGGAGAACTGACTCTATGTGCTCCTTTTGCTCCTTTCCTGTCTTCCAAGCCAGCCTACCCTGGTGAACTGTCTTACATTTCATTTGGTTATTTAATCAATAAAATAGCACATGTGTGTGTTGTGTTCATAAAGAAATTGTTGCTTCAGCATTTCCTAAAAAACAGTGACATTTCCTTAGAAGAAAGATAGGAGTAATTACAGTTCAGTTTCTGACCATGATATTACTATAAATTAGCCCATCAAAAAGCTCTGCAGATGGATTCCAGGACATGGCATTTGACAAGAAATTACTTATTGGTAGATGTTACCATCAACAGAAAATACTTCCTTTAATTTTTTAGCCTTGTTCATTTGGTTGCTACAGGAAGAGATTTGACCTAATTTTTTATCTCAGCTAATTTTTTTTCATCTGCTCTCCTTCTTTGAGAAGGAAAATACCTTAAATAATTAAGCTATCTAAAAGCTTATAAGACTGGAAGGCAAGTGCACATCACACAGCTTCACCAGCAACTGTTACACAGAAGCTGAACAGAGGATGACAGAGAGTTCCATTTCTAAGTATGCAGGAACCATCTCTATCAAATTATTTAATACTTTGTAGTGCTCCCTCTTGAGCATTTGAGAATTTCATAATTTCAGTGATGGGCTCAAATCAGGACTCCAAACACACTGCTCCCCTGAGAAGGAGCTGCAGTAATTTCAGTTTCAAGCCATCTTGTACATTAGTCTCCATTACATGACAGAACCAAATACAGCCTCCTCTTCCAGCTCCCCAAACTGGGCACAGAGAAATAGGCTTGCCTTTTACCACTTTCCTGCACAAGGAGGTCAACAGTAGCCATATCACCACCAGCCCCACTCCACAGAAGAGAAGAAACCTCAATATGTTCCTAAAGTTTATTTAAAGTAAGTGTTCAGTGTCCTAAGAACTACTACAAACTAATCTGAGTGTACTCTGCACAGAGTACACAAGACCTCCAGGACAGTGTCAGAACAGACAGTGTAATAGTCTTCCTACAGACTTTAAAGTGCAGAAATTATAGTCGAAAAAGCTAGCTAAATGACTATTTCACCATAACTATTTTCTAATACGTTACGTATTTTATTAAGAGCATGAGTTACACAAGAGGCAAGAGAGAAGTTGCACCTGGCTCAGTGAAACCCAAGAAATGATACTGTGAGATAAGGTGTTCTGTAGCACAGGTACAACCAAAAAGCACAACAGATGTCTGAACTCTTCCCTAGGGCACATTCTTATTCCTTCTCTGTGCTGATGCATTTTTAAAATTTAAAAGCGCTCTTTCAGACACGTGTGAGTATGACTCCTTAGATGCACATAAAAATAAACTAAATCACCTCACAGTATTTTATACACCCATCTGTTCTAGGAGTAGAAGGAAGGCTAACGACAGAACTAATTAGACAAAGGAAACTCCTCAGTGCATTATGCTGGCAAGGCTGTTCTTGTGAGGGAGGAATACATTAGGCCTCCCCTCAGCAGCTGCTCTGTATACTGGGGAATGAGTCTGAAGAGCAGTGCCACAGAAAGGGACCTGGGGTTCCTGGCTGATGGCAAGTTGAATTTGAGCAGTGCCCTGGCAGCCAGGAGGGCCAACCCTGGCCTGGGGGGCATCAGGCACAGCATCGCCAGCCGGGCAAGGGAGGGGATTGTCCTGCTCTGCTCTGAGCTGGGGCAGCCTCACCTCGAGTACTGGGGGCAGTGTTGTGTGACACAATGTAAAAAAGACACTGAACTGTAGAGAGTGTCCAAAGGAGGACCATGATGATGGTGAAGGGCCTTGAGGAGAAGCCGTGTGAGGAGCAGCTGAGGCCATTTGGTCTGCTCAGCCTGGAGAGACTGAAGGGAGACCTCACTGCAGCTACAGCTTCCTCATGGGGGGAAGGGGTGGGGCAGGCGCTGATCTCTGCTCTGTGGTGACAGTGACAGGGGCCGAGAGAATGGCCTGACATTGTGTCAGGGGAGCTTTAGGTTGGATATTAGGAAAAGGTTTTCCACCCCACAGGGTTTATTACTGGAATGGCTCCACAGGAAACTGGTCACAGCACCAGCCTGACACAGTTCAAGAAATGTTTGGACAACACTCTTGGGCACCTGGTGTGATTCCTGGGAATGGTGCTGTGCAGGGCCAGGAGTTGGAATCTCTGACCCTTGTGGGTCCCTTCCACCTCTGCATGTTCTGTGATTCTGTGATCCCTCTTACAATAACTAGAGGTATAACTAGAGCTGTTCTCTTTCCATCATCTACCCATGCACTGCTCCCGTGAAAATACCTGGGGGGGGGGAAGCAGAACTCTAGATGACTTCAGCCACTAACTTTTCCTTTACTAAAGTGCTTTGGTAAACATGTGACAGTTGCCTTTAATATTAAAATTCAGCTTGTTCAACAGAAAAATAATCATTAAAAAGTGCTGATTTGTTCCACTGAATTTGACATCTTGAAGGAAGTCAAACATTTTCAGCCCTCAGAACTGTGCAATTTCAGCAGATGTTTAATGAAATTACCACCGAACAGGGACAACTTATCTACAATACTAACATTTTAATCCAGATTAATTTATTTTGGCCAAGCTTGTTCAAATGAAATACCCATGAATTTTTCCTTCGTGAATGACTGCACCAACATCACCTTAAAAAAAGTATTTTTACCAACTTGCTTTTGTGGATTTGCCCAACTATGCTGTCAAAGAAATAAAATCTTGATTCTGTATGTCCAGCCTCAGTTATTCAAAACTTCTTGTTTAAAGAACATAACAAACAGCATGAAATCAACGTGAAAGCTGGAAGTGCTCAACAAAACTTTTTCCTGAGTTTTGGAACAAGCAAACCATTAGCAACAGCAATCTGCCTTGTAAGTTATTTACTCTGCAGGCTGCCTTCAGCACTGACATACTTTCAATGATTCTGACTGCTCTACTTTTGTAATATATCACTCCTTTGTATTATACTCTCTGGGACATCATGATGGCAAGGTATCTTTCTTTGGTCACTCAAAGCCATTATTCCAGGAATTTATATGCTCCTAATTCCTTATGCTATTATATTGAATAAAACTTCTCCATGTTGGAAAGGTTACACAGACTTACCACTAGTAAGCCTGATTTTGTCCCTTTACCACTTCAAATCTAGTTTAAAAATGTGTGAATATATTAAAATGCACAAACAACCTATTGTACCCACACACCTATTAGTCTCATACAATAAGATAAAAAAGTATCTTCTCACACTTACATTTAAGGCCACACTCAGCTTTTCAAATAGCAAGCTTCAACATAAGCAACTCTCAAATAAAATTAAGTTTCCTGACATACAGAACAGGTAGTTAAGGTTAAAACCAGCAGGTTTAGCTTTAAAGCACAGGCAATTTTGCCAATATTAATGTCTTCATCTCAGACAAATGGCTGTTAAAATTACAAACAAAGCTATTTTATTGCTGCTTTGTCAGACAGAACACCAAAGTAGTGAATCCAGGCAGGGAACATATTTAAGTACTTTTTGTAAGAATCCTGAATAATAGCTCCCTCCTCAGAACTTGACCATGTCCTGATTTTGAGTTCTGGTGTCCAGTGGGTCTTTTTTCAAGAGGATGGTTAGCAACACACCTTGAGGAAACTAAAGGCTAGTAATGCATTTGAATGCAGACACAGTGGCTAAGCTGTCCCAGCTAATAAGTTAGATCCTAGGACTGGGTTGTCACAGACAGGAAAAGGGAAGGACACTGCAGACAGCAGAGAACCTCATCCATACATGTGCCAAGATCAGAGTCCTTAAAAGAACACTTAGGTTCACAAACCTAAAAACAGGCAAGAGACTATGCCACTCCCACTCTATCTCCAAGAAACATCAATGTGGTTTAGGATTTGGGTTTTTTTACCCAAATCCTAAACCACATTGATAAATTGAAGCCACACTGATAGCACGGATAGAGTTTTATAAAATTGTAGGGATTATGGAAATTTGGTTATAAGGAGAAAGCCAGCCAGAAGAGAGACAAGAAAAGTAGCAGACAAATTCACAGATTGAACGTTTCAACTAAGACCAGGAAGGATAATTTTCAAAAGGGAAAGACTTATTTTGTTTTTTGGAAACAAAGGGGCAAGACAGGTTTAAGGATGTTTAACACTGTTTTTAAATAAACAAAAACAATGCCTGGATTTCAGCTGGAATAGAGCTAATTTTCTTCCCAGTAGCTGTGTTTTGAGTTTAGGAGAAGAATAATGTTGATAATACACGGATGTTTTAGTTGTTGCTAAGCAGTGTTTACACTACAACAAGGACTCTGGCTTCTCACCACCCTGCCAGTGAGTAGACTGGTGGACACAAAGAGCTGGGAAGAGACACAGCAGGACAGCTGACTCAAACTAGCCAAAGGGATATTCCATACCATTTGATGTTATGCTCAGTATATAAACTAGGGGGAAGATGGCTGGGGACTGCTGCTAAGAACTGGACTGTGGTGAACAACTGCATGGTGGATAATTTGTTTTATACACTCGGATTCTTTTATCACCATCATTCATTATCATTATTTGTGTCCCTTCCTTTTCTGTCCTATTAAACTCTACCTCAACCCCAAATTCCTTCCCCTCCCTCCCCCAGTTCTCTCCCCCATTCCACGGGGGGCAGGGAGTAAGCAAGTGGCTGTGTGGTGTTTAGCTGCCTGGATGGTTACACCACAACAACCAAGCAAAAAATTACATTTAACATTTAAAGGTCTTCATTAAGGAACTGTTCAAGCTGTAAAATACTGAGAGTTTGAACATGCTTGTACACTCTTAAAAGCATTACTGTTGGCTGCCAGAGCTGCAGGCCACAGCTGGATGTCACAACAAAGCCATTCTGCCTGCTGAAGCCAAGCACAGTCAGTTCCAACTGCTTTGGCTCCAAACTATCTTCACCTTCTCCCTCTTCCCCCTCCCCATCATTTCTCCTCTCTTCACTGGATTAGTTAAGGCAGAAAAGAGACAGCAAGTTTCTAAAACATGGCCAAACAGGGCAGACAAGCATCATAACTGACACAGGAGACTGCATGTGCAAGACTTCCTTTCCAGCAGCAGTGGACATGAGATAAGCTAAGTAAGGTGTTGGCTGATACCCAAAGTTTGCACAGAAACTCCATGGAGCATACAATTAATCATCCTTAAATATAAACACCCATTGGCTCACAAAGTCCCTGAGCTACAAAACACTGGAGGCTCTGACACCTCAGAAAGCCCCTTGTCCACTTGCCTCTTTCCTATAACTCTTTCCCTGAATGACAGCCCTAAAGGTTCTTATGTTCCTAACTGTGCTGCCACAACTTGCCCTGAAATTTTGCACAGCAGAAGCTCACATAAGGCAGCACAAGTCAAACCAACCTACACTCCTCATCACTGCACAATCACCTACCCTTCCACTGGCCCATAAGTACCAGTATAGCAATATAGGCAATCCAATCAGGAAAATCACTGTTTAGCATTTCCCATTCTTTATGTTTTTTTCAATTTTTTTTTTCCTTAAGGGTTTTTTTTAAACCTGGCTTAAGAAGAACTTGGGCTGGTTGCCCCAAGAGGGAAATGCACTGCTTTGTTAAGTAAAGACATCTATGCAAATTAGAGCACGTGTAAACTATTTCTTCCAGGAACAGTTTCTGGGAAGTAAAACCACAGTACATTACTCAAGACTGAAAAATGGCTTTGTGCTGGTTGTTTGGGTTTTTACTTGTTTTTGTTTTGTTGTTAAAAAAAAAAAAAGCAAAACCACAACCAGCATATATCAGTTCCTAAAATAATCCTAAGATTAGCATAAATGTAAACTGAGTAATATATGCAAGCAACCAAAAAAAAGGAAAAATTATTTTCTGTTAGTGCAGCATAGTAATTTCAACAGTTGTTTCTACATTGTGGTTTCCATATGGTGTAAGTAACAACATAAAAAACTAAACCAGAATCCTTAGTAACTTGGAAAACTATTTAAAAAATTGCAGCTGGCCAGATTCCACCCAACTGTACAGCAACAATTTAAAACAAGATATTTTGACCTTGTAGGCTCCTATTACTTTGTACAGAAACAATCCCTCCATCTTCTACATTGGTGTTTTCTGAAGAAGCGCCTGACCCTCAAAAACACAGCTTTATTTAGAGAACTGAAGCCATCTGGCTTACAAAATTAGACAGACTATACTACAGCACCACTGCTTTTTGCACTTACATTTGCCTGATAGGAACAGGTTTCCCTACATCTCCTACTGTCCCATGCCATCCTCCAGCTCTGTGCTCAAGTCCCAGACAATATGGCAGAAGTTATTCAGAAACCAACAGCCATTTTAGTTACCCAAAGAGCCTGTAATGCTTAGGTTGACTTTCCTCCACTTTTAAGGCCCCTTTTAATGTTTCTTCAAACAGACTGCCATTATTGTAATTTCAAAGTGACAGGAGTGTTCCCTAAATGTCCCGAAAATGCAAGGAGGCCAAAGGGAAGGCCATAAAAATCAGAGGTTCACACAGTCCCAGATCAGGTCTTTTGACAGTGGCCAGCATCAAAGCTAAAAGGATGCTGAAGAACACTGCCAAACTGAGTCACTGGTTATCTTCCTTATTAGGGAGAAATCCTTATGTAAATCCTTTATATACAGAAAATACCATTACCACCACAGAATGAAGTCAGGTTGATTTAGATGGAGGCTTGAATCATCCCCATGATCTGACAGGGGAAACAAAAAAGCAGCCCTGAAAACAAACGCACATGAACTCCTAGCTTAATGCAGCAGTGTATTCAAGCATGAATAACTCATTCCTCCCCATCTCTTACTGCTTTTAGCTGGTCACTGCTTTCACTTAAGATGGCTGCTCTTTCATTCTGAGAGAGACAGGCTACACATCATTCAAACCTGAGCTGTGGATTTGTAAGACTACACTGGAAAAAGCAAACAAATTCTGTAATTAAACTGGGAAAGAATCACAGGATAGCTCATCTTTATGCAGCACAATGAACTGCAATAGTTACTTAGTAAACACACAGAGATAAATAACTGAAAATATCTCCACAGGTTAAGAAAATATTTCCTCGTCAGCTTTAACGGCAATGCTTTTAAAATGTCTGTGGTTTCCTGAGCCATCCTGTCTCCAAATACTTGCACTGCACTGCCTTAGGTTCACCTCTAATTCTGGACAGCAGCCAGGTGAAATTCAAGCATGGGGATCTGTTAGTTCAAAAACACAATTAACTTATTTTGGCATTTCTTTGACATCCAAGGAGATTTATCTTAAATACTAAGTAACTCACCCCCAAGACCCCAAATCTCTCACAAAAGTTCCAACCACAGAGAAAGTCAATTTCAAAGTTGTGATTAAGGATTACGATGGCATTCTCCTTCCCATACTTGTGGTAACTCTCTGGGTCAGTGTAAAGGGTGCAGTCGGTTCCTGACCACCATTCCAGCAACATCACCATCTCTGAAACAAAGAAGGAGAAATATGTGAATGTACACAGTATCTGCAAAACCACAAATCAGTAACATGTTGAAAATATCAGTCACCTCCAATGGCATGTGGCAAAGAAAGTGCTGTAATGAAGAACACGTAAAAGGCTGTTTAAAACACAGCTATCTTTACAAGCTGGAAATTGGCTTCTCAGCAGTATCCTAGTGACTATCATATGCCTTTCATTTCCTATTTGCTTATCCCATTATCAAGCACAGGCTTGTACTGTACACTTTGTATTTGTTTTGCTTGGAACTTTATGTCTGACCACAAGACTTGTGAATCAAACCTTTATTTAGCGAAATCACTCTGGTCTGGGGCACAGGAAGCTGAGGTGAGTCAGTAAAGCCAGGATACTTGGAGAGCTCTATCTCCACAGAGATGGAAAAAGAAAACCTAAAAGCAATGGCTCTCCTAAAGCAAGCCTTATCTTCAGCAGAGGGTACTGTGGGACTAAATGAAACCTGTCTGTCTGAGACTAAAAAGGAGTTAAGGAACACATTTGCCTCCTGTCAAAGCTGTCAGGAAAGTTCTGAACAAAAGCACAGGTCTAATGCAATGGTTATTCTTTGTTAAGTGAAACATATCTCTCTGGTGCCACATGAATGCCTCTGCTGGAAGGATGAGACATTCAAGATGTTCTCTTGGCTTAAGATAAGCCTGAAGGCACCAAAAATGCTCATTCACCTCAGGAAAGAGCAAAACCAGGCCAGTCTTAGAAACACATTTGCATTTCTCTCCATTTTGGTCTCCTACTGGTCACATCCAAACCAGACAAGAACAGGTCTACATTTCCATAATGAGTAAAATTATCTGCCTGAAGCTCTTGGATGACATTGTGCTGTACACTGGCATTAATGATGTGAATGAATTCATTCTAACAGTGCTACAGGCAGGCTAATAGACAATCTCTATTCAGGTAACATTACCTTAATATGACACGTGTTTATGACAGATAAATGACCAACTTGTCAGTCCACCTGCTTACTTCTTATCAGGGAATGTGACTACTACTACAGCAGGAGTACATTATTATTTAATGCATGCTATTATGCATCAAAACAATAGCCTGAGATGTGGAGGGATACCTAAACTGCCATATGCTAACCAGGGAATGGCAGATTTCACTGACTGTAGGCTAATTTTTCAGTGAAAACCAAAGATGTTCATATCTCAGTGAGGCAATGTGAAGATACAAAAGCAAATACTTTGAGGACCTGCCCTGCAAAGAGCTGCCTTGTGAAACACACTTAATGTTATATCTTTCTAAGATCGTAGATTTCAATTGGATTTATACTGGAAATAAAAGCCATCCACTCCCTGAAACACAGCAAAATTGAATAATGGCCAGAGGAAAAAACCACCCCATTGTAATTTGCAAACTTCTGCAGAATCTACATTCATATCTTAGGGCATCACAGAAAATAAAGGAAATTAGTGACAGGACTAGATCTTTTGCTTAACTAGGAATGCAACTAAGAGAAAAAAATGACTGCCACATGACTTTCCCCCTTTTTAACACTTCCTGCCATGAAATCTATTCCCTGGGAAAGAAAAACAAAAAGGCAGAGATGACGATGGTAAGGCTGTCTTGACAAAAAAGCGAACTTTACACCTGAGGAAAGTCATCCCACTTCAAGTATGAATTTTTTTACTTTTGTCTTTTACTAAGGAATTTGAACAAAACTAGTAACGTACCATGAATTTCACTACACAGGTGTGCCACATACATAGAGCTCTTCAGTTTTATATATTCAGTTTTAAATACATTCTAAAAAAGCACATGCAAAATTATTTCTAGATGTGCTTTGATTTTTCATGATTTACCTAAGTCGGATTTTTGTTTGAATAAATATTGCAGAAATAGATCCCTATCCCTCACCTCACATGCCATTTGTCACTAATGTGCTCAGGCAGCTGTTGCAGGAACACAAAGCAGGAACTGAACACCACCATATTTAAATACAGTAAATACCATCTGCCAGTCTCTAATTTCTTAACATGTTTCTTTCTCTCATCCCTACTCTTTCTTTCCCCCTCTTCCTAGCCTCCTTTCTCCTTGTGGATCTCAAGCAATGATAAGTAGTGTCAGTTTGTGCTACTCTTGCATTGTGTCACCAGCTTACTTCCACAGCCTTCTGCAGAAATTTATTACCCAGCAACCTGCTGTGTGGCTCAGCCACACAAGGTCACCCATTCACACTCTCCTCCCTCTTTCACAGCACAGAGATAATCAGAGGAAGTTTCTTCCTTTGTACACCAGTCATACCGTACAAGCAGAAATCAATTGCATAGAGGGAAGAAAAAAACTATTCTTTTGCCCCTTTCATGTGGTTTTGGAGTTTCAGCACCACAAGTGAGCTGGTAATACATAACCACATTGTGAGGGTTCCTACCTTTCAAAGCAATTCCTCCAGTGACACTGTCAAACAATTAAGGCAAAGGAAGGAGAAAAACCAAAGGAACTTGAAATCTCTACTCCCTGCTTTGAAGTCAGACTCCTTGCAGTGCATTATAACTAGTTTCAGAAGAAGCTGATGGCAGAGAGAAATCATTACTTCAAATACTTAATGTGGATACCCTGTGTGCTTAGGAATTTTGAGCTTTTTTACCTCTGAAATAAAAAAAAAAAAAACACTCATCTTGCTTCAAAAAATACCCCTACCTCCTGCAAGAATAGATTGTTTCCGTGCCTTTCACTGGACAAATCTGAGCTGTTCCAATGCCAGCACTTCCAGAACAAGTAACTAGGAAAAAAATCTCCAAGGCTTAGCTGAACTGTAAGTCATAACATGAAAAATAACATTTAAAGGAAGAAGGAAAACACACAGAATTTAGTGAGACTTCCACCTCAAAGTTTTCAAGAATGAGTCACTAAAGCAGTTAACATTTTTACTCTGTAGAAGGTGTTAGCAATTCCTTTAACTAACTATTCTTGATAAGGACCAGATGACCTGTTGTGGCTCCTTCCAACCTTACCTGTTTTGTGATTATGTGATACCTATGGAAACATTTGCTTACAAGATTAATTATAAATTACCTGTTTTAAAGTTTCATTAAAAGTATAATTCTGCATTGACTCAACAGGAACAACAATTTGTAAATTCTCAAATACATGCATCACCTTATTTAAAGAGCGACTACTGTTTCTCTCCATTACATTCTTCATTTCCTTTAATCTCTTCATTTTCTTTAATCTCTGAATCAAGGCAACACCAAGAAAAACAATTCGGAAAATTCTTATGGGAATATATGGTAAAAGCATAGCAAACTCTCCAACACAAATAAAAGCATGACAAATGGGCAATCTGTGACCATCATTTCAAAGAGCAAACAGGGTGAACTGCTGCGTGACGAATAACTGCACTGCACAGAACACTGAGGAGAGCATTCTAAAAAATGCAAAAATAAGTCTAAAGACAGACTGACAGGTAGCATAGTCTACAGTCTGTGCCTGTCTGTAGGAGAATGACTTGCAATACTACTACTTACTACCTCTCCAGATTTTCAGACTACACCTATTTAGGGGCACTTCCTAAGAATTTTCCACAGAATGATGTCTAAAGGTGACTAAGAAAAGCAAGTTTATATCTTCCCTAGACTACTTAAAAGCCCTTTGTGCATCAAAGACAGGGTTAAACCTCTGAATTCACTGCAAAGCTGCCCGAGAGGTTTTCTAAATACTTCCAAGTATTCCTTACACAGGCTATTCTAGTGTTTCACTCTGCCATCTAACTTGACTGCACACTTATTTCTGGTCCCTACTTCCTTCTTCTCTGCAGAAGCTGCAAGTAATTATGAGGAAAACTAGAAGGCAGGAATTCTGCTTGCATTGATTAGGTACATGAAACTAGATATGAATATTCCTACATGTCCACAGAAAAAATGTTCAAAATAACTTATTAAAAAAAAAAAAAAACAAACCAAAAAACAACAACAACAACAACAAAAAAAACAACCCATATATACCTTTCCTGTGAGGGGCAACAAAAATTAGTTCTAGGGGGAAAAAAAACCCTGCAGCTGGAAAGTCAAGCAATACCTTTCCCCCTTCCCCCAGATAAGTGGGAAGTCATAGAAGGAGACCAGCCAGACCAAGCATCAGCTTTCCAGCTTCAGACTCTCTTCCATGCACGTGTTGCACCAACGAAGTATAATGGAGTTATGGGATTCACTTCAAGACAGAAGTCCTGCTCTTCCACCTGTGGGAAAATGTGTAGGATTCCTGGTTTTCTGTGATTTTGTGAGTTTAAATAGAAGACCAAAATCCAGTCCCCTCTTTCCTTAGCACCACAACCATGCCCCATTCCCTACCCCCATCATATACTACTTCTTTCTCCCTCCCTTAAAGCTGTCTTGCAGCAAAAGTACTGGCTGATGGCAGGGAGGGGTTATGGGAAATAATACACATAAATTTAAAAGGAAAAACAAGCAAAACCCTTCTCTCTTGCCTTCAGATCTGTTTTTGCAGGTTTTTGCCCCAGTCTCCTTAAAAGACCCTATAAGCAACTTCCTTGAATAATACTTAAACTAATTACATGTCCATGCTTTTAAGGACAGAAATCACCAACAAAGAGGAAGGAAGAAATGGTGACTTTTAATTCCCCACTCACCACAATGAGTTACTGGATGTGCTTGCAAGGAGAAAGATAAGAACAGCACAGCCCTTTCATATATTCAGGTTCCAGGTCACATTCATTTCAGCATTAGCTTCCAGGAAATTAATTTATTTTTCTTCAACAATCATATATTCCAACACACATAATATGCTGCATTTGCCACAAATGACTGAGGACAGCATAGCACGTGCTGATCAAAGGAGTTAGTACAACACACAGTGAAAGAAAACATGCTGATGGCAAGTTCCTATAACACTGACATTTGTTTTGTATACGCATGAAATCAGGCAGTTGCACCTCTTCCGGATGTGGTTTCTTGTTGTCCGAACCACCACTGTCTTTTCCTACTGTGTG